TGAAACGCATTCATCCTTTCGAACAACCCATTCTTACATGTTCCTCTAGCAAATACTAACGAAAGCTTTCTCATTTTAATGGAATCTAATTTTGACCGTTCTAAAATAGAACGGAAAAGAAACTATTCTAATAGTGGTTGGAACAGTTCAAAACGATTTCCATCGAGAGTGAGAACGATTTGGAACTGAGAATCTATTTCATTGAAAATGAAGAAATTCATTTAAATTAATTATTCAATCGAATTGTCAAGAAACTCTCAGTACCGACTCAATTCCTATTTGAAAATGGATAAATATTTCGTGTATTTTTTTATTTTCTATGTTATCTCAAATCGATCTTCATATTGAATTAATTGAAATATTTTTTTCACTGATTCATAAAATCTTCTATTGTTTTTTTGATTTAGACATTTTGGAGAAAGGTACTCGTGAAGCGTTAACAAATCATAGTAAAGCTCTTGGAAAATTGCCTGATTTCGGTTCATTGGCAATGTCAAAATGTGTTTTAGCTACATTAAAAGATTGTAATTGTGGAGCTGATCTTATTTCTCTTTCATCAATTTTAAGTGTTTTAAATACAACAACTTTATTAAAAATCAATTCCACAGAATTATAAAAGTCCGGATGGGGATTTTATGACATTATTAAATGTCATGGAAGAAATTTTAGTTGTTAAACAATCAGTTCCAACTAAAGAATTTAGTTTAGATCGTATTTGTCAAGCAAAAGGTTTAAGTAATATAAAACATATTCTTCGACAAGCATTAAGACGTTATAATAGTTTAGAAAAATCATTTAGTTTATCAGTTGATTATCGTGCTAAAGCGCAAGTAAAATCAAATGATTAGGAATTAATTGCCAGATCATTATTATCTGATTATTATGATAATATATTTGTATCAGCGAAAGAATTACTTGAACGAACTCAGCTTTATATTCAATATAATGGTTCAACTGAAGACAATATTGCTGAATTAGATTCACAATCTGTTTTAGCTAGATCAACAAATAAAATTCCTCCAGCTTTAGTTTTAGCACGAGATATTCGTTATTCAACATCAATTCGTTCTAAAGCAATTCTTTCATTTGTCGGAACAATTAAACCTGAATGGGTTGAGCGTCCAATAAAACGTCAATTAAAAATTAATAATGAAGAAGAAGTACGTCTCAATAGTAATAATATAATATCTAAGTTCAGCATGGAATATACTTAGATTCCGTCGTTATTGAGACATTTCATTTCTGAGTTAAGAGACAGTCCTTGGCTGAATCGAGCATTTGTAATATAGGCTGTCAGACAAAAAAATTTTGACATAGGCTTTTTATTATTCAAAATGAAAGAGCAT